CTATTAACAGGTGAATGGTGTGATCTTCTATTATTTTCTCCTCGTAAATTGCTTTCCAATATTTCAAACCTAAAATGGAGCATTCGACTCTACATAAAATTTCATTTGACTTTACCTAGAGTTGAATTAAATTTGAAGAGAGGACTTTCATATCAGTTTTATCGATTTTGAATTTGAAACTTTAAAATCTCTATGCATAGAATTTTACAAAAACCAATGGTCCATTAATCATTGAAGAATTGAATAGAATTTGTATTGTTTCAAAGAATTCTTCCTTCTGCATTTGACTTGTCCATTCATCATTGTTTGATCAAGGTAAATTGTTACACTACTTCGAATAATCAGCTATATTTCTGCTGTTAATTTGAACGTAATAGGATTTGTGTTGTTTTATGTTAGCAAGGCGAATACTGATTCGCATTCTAATTCATAAAATTTGTATTCTTTTTTTGTATTTTCAATCAAATTTCATTTTTTTATTCTTTAATTTTATAGTTATATGTATAATATTATTATATGTTTCTCACTATGACGATTTCAATGTTTGATTTTTTTTTACTTACTTTGTTTAATCTTTTAGTTCACTGTCATCCCTTAATTTTTTTTTTTCACATCATTTTGATAGTTTACTTAATTTTTGTTTTCTGGATTGTTTTCTTTTTGAGTTGACATTTTATTTTTAATTCACTGTTATTCATGTTCATTATTTTTGTATTTGTTCTTCTACATTGTATTGTTTTTGATTTGAGATTTTGTTTGTGTTTCACTGTAATTCATATTGATTATTTTGAATGTTAAATGATTGTTTTAATTTTCAAATGTCAATAAGTGACATTGTGCAAATACAATAATCATACGACAGCTGAAAGGATATATGACAATACTCATTTGTGTGATTTAGTTTCAGACGTTTGTTCCAAATTTGAGAGTTTGATTTTTGATTTTGTCGTTTTTCATATGCTCTTCCTGGATATTCCAATTGCATTCTTGACAATGATTATGATTTGGTTAGCATCATGTATTTCATTTGTTCCTTTAGTCTTCAACATGCTGATGTTAGTGTTAGTGATCGAAGATCTGATTACTGTGTAGTAGATGGTAGTAGTTCACTATTGAGTAAACAGTCAGATGTNATGACGATTTCAATGTTTGATTTTTTTTTACTTACTTTGTTTAATCTTTTAGTTCACTGTCATCCCTTATTTTTTTTTTTTTGAACATCATTTTGATAGTTTACTTAATTTTTGTTTTCTGGATTGTTTTCCTTTTGAGTTGACATTTTATTTTTAATTCACCGTTATTCATGTTCATTATTTTTGTATTTGTTCTTCTACATTGTATTGTTTTTGATTTGAGATTTTGTTTGTATTTCACTGTAATTCATATTGATTATTTTGTATGTTAAATGATTGTTTTAACTTTCAAATGTCAATAAGTGACATTGTGCAAATACAATAATCATACGACAGCTGAAAGGATATATGACAATACTCATTTGTGTGATTTAGTTTCAGACGTTTGTTCCAAATTTGAGAGTTTGATTTTTGATTTTGTCGTTTTTCATATGCTCTTCCTGGATATTCCAATTGCATTCTTGACAATGATTATGATTTGGTTAGCATGATGTATGTCATTTGTTCCTTTAGTCTTCAACATGCTGATGTTAGTGTTAGTGATCGAAGATCTGATTACTGTGTAGTAGATGGTAGTAGTTCACTATTGAGTAAACAGTCAGATGTTTTTAGTTCAAGCAATGTTTTGGACATTAAGGATGATCTCCTTCCTCAATTTTGTCTATTGCATGGGAAGCTTATGCTTTTTGCTGGATGGTCTAATGCAATTAAAGAGGTTAGTAACCAATTTGAAGAAAGTGCTTCAGAATTTCATCTTTCGTCGTACAATGAAACTTTCTAGTGAGTCTGTTTTTGAGGTTAATTCAACCCCTATTGTATCAATTGACGTGGATAATCAAACTTTCTCATGTTATCAATGGCAGATTAATTGGCTCCCATGTTTTCATGTAGTTGATGCAATTAATTAGAATGATAGAAATCTAAAGGAGTGTGTTGACTATTATTATGACATTAGTAACTACATGACTGGAAATGCGGAGTAAATGTTTCTTGGACCAACTGTCGGACGCTCAGATTTTTCAATGCATGAAGCTGAGATTTTGCCTCCAATATCAAAGAAACAACCTGGAATGCCCAAAAGGCATAGGATACGATCTAGGGGATGAATTAATTAAGCAAATTCCCTGTAGTATGTGTGGCTAGAGAGGTCACCATAATAGAAAGAGTTGTAAAGAGCCTATGTAATCTACCTTCATTGAAATTCTTGACATAAGTTTGTTTGTCATGTAATTCACTATCTTAGATGTCAAAATATATGAGTTTAATTTTTCAAATGATTGACATTCTTAATACATTCTTCTTTGGTATGAAGTTCACTATTTCATGTTTTTAAAGTATATGTGGTTATTGTTCAGATAATTGATGTTGAAAGTATCCTTTATTTAGTGATAATTCTTTGGTAACTTTCAAGCTACATGAAACTCACAACCACCTCTTCTTTGAATGTGACTAATCCTCTAGAGTTTGGAACCCCATTCTTCTCCAGAGAAATCAACAAGGACAGCAAAGGCACTGGCCTAATTTAATTGAATGGGTTGCTCAACAGTGGAAAGGCAAGAAGATGACCACTATTATCTTGAAGATCAGTCTTTCTGCTACTGTTTATCATTTATGGAAGGAAAGAAATGCCAGAATCTTCAGAAACCAGGCTGCGGACTTTCATACACTCTGCACTATGATTAAGCAGACTATTAGGGAGAGGATGCTTACCTTGAAATTCAAGCGCAGCCACCAAAATGTCTTGACCTTGCTTCAATGGAATCTGCCTGATACATGTCTCCATTAACTCTGTTATGATGTTTACTGCTGGGATGTGATTTGGAGGGAAGCCTTTGTTGGCTGTGCTGTCCTTTCATCCTCACTTCTTTACACTATTTTCTAGACTTCTTTCTCATTGGGGTTGTCTACTTGATGTCTGTTGTTGCTGGTGCTGATTTTTTGGTGTGTTGGGCTGGGGCTGTTTTTTTTTTTTTTTGGGTGTGTTGGCTTGCTATGGTGTGTTGTGCTGGTATTCTGCTTCTACACATGACTTGCTGATGCTGTTTTTATTGGTGCAAATGACTTCCTAGTCCTGTTTTTTTTGGGTGGTGTGTTGTACTGGTGCTGAATTTGCTACAACTATTGGCTTGCTTGGTCACTTGCATATCAGTGGGTTCATGCTCTGTTTTTGTATACCAATGTTCTCTTGTCAACAATTCTGTGGGAGATACTCTTACTCAAGACATTTCTTACAGAATTGGGTTTTAAGCCTTGGCTTTTTGGGTTTTTTATGTTTGTCTTTGAGTCCTACGTGACTTCATTCTACATTTTGTGGGTGATTTCCCTCTGTATATCTGTTTTATTTTTATACACTTTACCTTCCGAAAAAAAACTTTCAAGCTACATCAATGTTTGTAAGTATGTCATTTGTCTAAAGTCATGGACAAAGAAATCTTTGTATTTAAGTAGTTCATTGTTTACAATCATTGTGAGTTGTTCACAACCTACATTCATTGACATATTTCACAATGTATACTTTCCACATATATATCAGCATTCAAGTACTTGACAGTTTTTGTGCATCCGTGTTTGTAACTATCAAGCATGTAACTAAAAACATATACAAATTGCAATCAGATCAAATTAAAACTCGACAACATCTTTCTTGATTCATATTCTTTGACAGTCCACGATCTGGATGGTTGAAAAACTTGGCTGTCATTATTAACCGTAAATTTTGATTGGATTATCAATCAGTTTTGCTTCTATAGGGTATCATCGTGCTATTTTTTGGATGTTGTGGCATGCATAGATCTCACAACCAACCCTGTAATATTTTTTATTTTGTTAGCATATGTAACATTTGCATTGATCTGTAATATATAAGTTATTTTTATACTCACGAGTCTAGGGGTTGCTGTGGGTAGTTTTCCATTGAGATGATTGGAAAATCAAATGCATTCCTTTAATTCTATGTCGACTTTGATTTTGGAATTAGCTTCTGATACACTCTCATCATCATATTCTCAACAAATGTTTTATGCCAATTTGTTACATTTTGGTGAGACAATGCATAGAAAAGTTGAGATCTTCAATAGTAAAAAGTAGACTAAGCTTACCATTTTTGTTGCATCATCTAACCAAAAATCGTGGTGCCTCTTAGTTCTTAGTCTCATTTGAGTTGTAGTATTTTTAGGTCCCCTCATAATCGAATACAAGAAGTGTTTAGTGAAATGGTTCAGATGTTAGGTTATGCCCTATTAAATTCATTGGGAACTGTAAATATCTATATTGGTCCTTGCCTTCTTCTATTTTCCTGTCAATTTGGCTCTCAGCATAACTTGCTTGAGATGTGTCAGTTACCACCATTGTCTATATTTTTCAAACACGTTCATTATTTTGACCAATGTATTTTTTTTTATTAAACTATAGGATTTTTAATTTTTTTCTTACTCAACAAAGACTGTTGAAGAAACAGGATCATCCGGTTCTTGGATTATCCATCCTTTGTTGATATGTTATTTGCTTGTCAAGTTTGTCTTGTTCTCGTAATAGTATCTCTATCCAACAGTCAATAACCTTTTGAATATAAACAGCGGATATTAAAGATGTTCAAACACTAAATATGTTAGTACATAGTCTGGTTCTACCATCGTTATGTTTGTTTGTCAACATAGTGAATTATGTACTCACCTTGTTTGAGATGTGGAACTCATTTGTCATGTGGAGAATGTGTTCAATTGCAATGTCTCTACCAGTTTCAGAGTCATTCCAAACCTATGCCTTGCATGAGTTGATGTGTAACTATTAGTGGATATTAGTTATAAAGGTATTAGTGAAGCATAAGTTTTGATTTTGACTTAACGATTTTCCTTCTAATGACTTTACTTGCACAAGTTTTTCATCATTAGCACTTTTGAGAAGTTTACAAACCAGCAAGTTCAAATTGAGTGCAAGGTCTTTTTCTATCTTTTCCACATCTGTCTTATTATCTGAAATGTCAAGTACAGCCACGATTTCAGAATCTTGTTTTCTACTTTCCTTCTCCATTTTTCATTTTTCTTTATTTATTTTCATGGCAATGGTCAGTCTTTTACAACCTTGGCCTTGGATGCTTCTTCATGGGGCATTGGAAATCTGGATCTCTTTTTCTCTTTATTTGTTTTTGCCTTTTTTTTTTCACCATAGATGTTTGCCCAGTTGTCGATGTACCTATACTATCCATCTTCCTCTCTGTAGATAATTATTGTGTCACTGATCTTGCAACCATGTCATTTACTAATTTTGGAGGGATTTGTTCTCATTCAAAAGGCTTTTGAGATGGTTTGAAAATTCCTTGTATGAAAAAAATTCAAAAAATCTGGATGAAAAAAATTTTAAAAAATGCATGAATAAAAATTAAAAAAAAATTGAATGAAAAAATTTTAAAAAAAAATTACATGATTTTTTTTTTTTAAAATCTGCATGAAAACATTTATAAATCTGCTAGAAAAATAATAATTTTTTTTTTTTACCAACGTAGATAGTGATCAATCAATGTAGAGAACGAGTTGAAGAAGAATGACTAGCTTTAGTCCCTTATGTCTTCCAACAACACCAGATCGTTTTTTACCTTCAGCAACAACAAAGAGTATAATATATATAGTGAGAAAATGGTTGAGGGTATTTAGAATATTTGCATAAAGAAGGATAGTTTTGACATTTTTAGAAAATTTATAGTCAAACCGTTACTTTTTGTACTGACAGAGTTAAACATTACCGTTAATGGAGTATCTTTGATTTGAAAGTATAAACTAAAAGGGTTGCAGTGAAATTTTAGAAACGGAAGAGAGTGTTATTGAATTTAGACCTAACTAGAGAGGGTGTGAATGCAATTTTCCTTATAATAAATTTCAATATTATACCAAAATTTTGAATTTTTATACCATAATCAAATCGGTCTAGATGTTATTACTATTGACTTGGAAAAGCAAAAAATTAACCCCCACTCAACATTACAAACACCAACAAACATATCATCTTCAAATATCTAATAAAGACAGTCCCTATTAAATAATTCTCAAGTTAACTCGAATCAATTATGTACAAAGCAACTTGAGCAAATTGCTAAAGCTTGAGCACTGGCATATATTTTGCTGATCAGGACCTGAAGTGTTAACCATATGGTCTATTTCTTGGCTTTAGGATTTAAATGTGAGCTATTTAGGAATAACTCAGGATTGACTTGCATTAAAGTTTGATAAAACTTGTTCTTTTATAAAAGCAACATCGTTTGATCCCTTTTCTTAGAGCATGTTTAGTAAATAAGTTGAGCATGAACCATGTCTTGATCAATTCGTTACATCGTGAACAAATTATGCTCATTCTCATGAACCTGCGCTTGAACAGAAAGTTTTGAAGGCTTTTCACGGGCTCAACGCGAGCTTGAACAATCTGGTGGTCAACTCAATTCGGTTAATTTGCAACTACTTGGCCATTTGGATTTTTATTGATTTGGAAAAGCTAAAAATTTCCCAAGGATTGAATTAAGCACTGGCATTTTAGCAAGAGGACCAGAAGGGTGAACCATAGGGTCCATCATTCCTTGACCTCAGGGGACATAAAATAAGGAAAGCTATGAAATAAGACTTCGTTCTTTCATTATTTGTAAAAATCGATAAAAATACAAAAAAGAAATCCTTAGCAAAAAGTTTTCAATCAAACGAACCCACATTTTTTAGGTTTTATCAAAGCAACCCCAAATAGAATTTTTTTTTTTTGCTACCAAAGCGCCCACGGTTAATTCAAAGCACAAAAGTTACAAATCCTTAAAGGGCTGTTTGGTCGGGGGTATGAGGGGCTTGATAAGATGGGTTTGAGGAAAATAGTCCAAAAGACCTTTAAACCCATGTTTGGATTACAAATTCAATCCTAAGATTTCAAATTCTGTCCGTAGCTGGCCCGGATATTAAACCTATGATAATTAGTTTCGTCAAACTGAGGGAAAGGGTGAGGTTGGGAAGATGAGTTAAGGATGCAAAAGACAATTGTACCCTTAACATAGGTATGAATTAGATTGATCAAATTATAAAATAGTCATTTATATGATAAATAGTTTTTAATAATTATGATATATTTGTATGACTTACATATGTATGTGTTGTGTACCAAATATGACAATAAACTGAATTCAATGTTGAATTTAATCTTTATAAAGAAAAAATTGAATTTGAAAGAGTTTGAAAAAGTCAGTCCAAATTTTTCCCAAATATCCATTCAAACAAACCTAAAAAAGCTCGCTCTTCATAAAATGTTTTACTTCTCCATAATACCAACTTGTCGGTCACATCATCAATCAAATTAAAATATCAGTTACACAAAAAATAACCCAAAATTATCTCTCTTCATTAATGACAACCAAAATTTCTACACAAGCAAGCAAAGAATATTATAAGATCTTTCCTTGAATGATCGGGTCTTATTAATTTTTTTAGTGGAGTCCACTCATTTCACATTCATCCAACGAATGATATGCATTTAAGTTTTAATTTTTAAGTTTCATTTTAATTATGTAACATTTTCCTAAAAAGAAATCCCCCATCTCTCTTTCTCTCTCTCTCACACACACACAACCTGCATAGATTTTTGCTCTTATCGGTGAGTTGATATTAAACTCTGAATTTATTACGATACGGAAAATAAGTTATTTCTTGATATCATATGTTTTTTTGATTCAGTAAATATACAACATATTTATTTTATCTTATTAGTTTTATGACCAACAATTACAATTAAATCAAGGGAAAGTCAATGATTATAAACTATTCTTTGATATGGTATCCAAAATAAATCTTCAGTAATATAGCCTTATCCTACGTAATATATTTTTTTTTCAAGTTAATTTTAAATAGTATTATATGAATGGTTATAAATGTGGCTATGCAATTGATTCGACACAAAAAATATTTTTTGTATCAATTTTTTTATTGATTCGAACATGACATTACACAATTAAGAGATATTTAACTAATATTAATGAATGAAATTTTTTTTGGATTATAAATATAAAATATTTAAACTTTGAAAGTATAATTTATAATTAGTCCAAACTTTTTTAACGGGTAAAATGGACAGCAGTTAACTTTCGGTGAGATATGAAGGTATAAATTAAAGTTGAGTCATTTTTTAGGATACAAATTAAAATTTGCCTATAAAAAAATTACTTCACAATAAATAACACAAAAAGAAATCCCTCTATTCTCTCTCTCTTTCTCTCTCTCACACACACACAACCTGCACATATTTTTTCTCCTTCAGGTGAGTTGATATTAAACTCTAAATTTAGGGGCCTTTTGACAACACCATTTAAGATTTTAAACTGAATATTTTAAGCACTTAATAAATTAAACCCGTTTGATAACTTAAAACTTATATTACTTAATATTTTAAGCAGTTCTTAAAAATAGGCTAAAATTTTAAGTTATAAGTCACCTACTTATTATTTAATGCTAAAAATGTTAGTTAGTAAAAATTTTATCAATTTTTCATAATAGACAAATATACCCTTACCACCATTATGTCATCACCACCACCACCATAACAATTGTACAACCGCCACCACCATCACCACCATTATGCCACCGTCACCGCCACCATAACCACTACTACCATTGTGCCACCGTCACCACCACCATTGTCGCCATCACCACCATCACCACCACTACCACCACCACCATTGTTGCCACCACCTTCACCGCCATCACCACCATCATCTTCACCACTATTATATCATCGTTACCACCACTACCAATATGTCACCACCACCACCATCATTCTGTCATCGCTACCACCACTACCACTGCCACCACCACCACCACCACCACCATTGCCACCACAACCACCACCACTACCATTGTCACCACCCCCCACCACTACCACTGTCATCACCATTGTGTCACCACCACCACCATTGTCACCACTACCACCACTGTCATCTCCACCGCTGCCACCACCACAACCATCATGATGGGTGGTGGTAGGAATAAGATACTTACAGAGAGATGGTAAAAAAGAATGACAAAATTAGTATAATAATAATTTTTCAATTCATGATGGTGGTGGTAAGAATAAGATACTTACAGAGAGATGGTAAACAAGAATGACAAAATTAGTATAATAATAATTTTTAAACTTAAGCTCTTTATATTTTTGAAACAGTTTGATTCAATTCAATATTTAAATTTCAGTTGATACCTTACAATCAGCGAATTAAAAAATTAAGCATTCAGCACTTAAAATTCAGTATTCAGTTTTTAGTTTTATCAAAAACCACCTTACTATGGTACATAAAAAAAAATTGGTATTATACTTTTTTCTATTCAGTAAATATACAACACATTTATTTTTCATTTTCATTTTATTTTATTAGTTTTATGACCAAAAATTACAATTAAATCAAGGGAAGGTCAATAATTATAAACTATTTTTTTGGCATGGTATCCGAAATAAATCTTCGGTAATATATCCCTATCCTAGGTAATAGATTTGTTTTTCAAGTTTATGGTTTATTTATTTATTATTTTTAATAGAATGATTCATACTAATTCAAGTAATTTTTTTTATGAATGTTAGCTGATTTGGAAGAAGAACAAGTTCATGCACAATCTAATATTTATAAGATTCTATTGAGTCTATTGCTATTGAGGTTTGTAAAATAGAAGATTTTTCTCTCCATATAACTATTTATTGTTTTAAGAATTTTTTTTGTTCACGAGTTATAAATAAAGTGGATAAATTAACTCAATTTCCAAAAGAAACCCTTGATAAATTTCTTAATGGAAAATGGAAATAATGGTTGTTTGGTAAAATTGTAGTCATAATCTCAAAGTTGTGCAGAATTAGAGAAGCCATAGCAGAAGATTGGACTAATGTAGCTAGAAGGTGTCATGTTGTGACTTACGAAAAACTTATCCATGGAGACATGAATAATCTTAAAGAGGGCTACGAATTATTTCAAATCAATTGATGAAATTTCTGTTTTTTTAATATTACATTTATGGGCATTAGATTAC